TTTCCTTAATTTACTCACCCTCTGGTCATCCAAATTGTTCCCAGTTTGTTTATTCATCAGAATAAATTTGGAGAAACTGCTTCAGATAATTAGTTTTTCACTTGAGACAGAAACATTCTGGATAGATTACACATATTTTAGGAACCTACAATGTAACCAAGAACTTTTCAAAGAACAAACATACAGCCATTTAGTGAAAATGTGCAACTATGAAGGTTCTGAAAGGAAATGAATATAATACTCCACCTAAAGGAACTTGGAACCTAGATTCAACTTAGAACCTTAGAGTTCCAATATGTTTTTACATGGTGCATAAATGTAACATCAATAACTTGTTTAATCTTTAAAGAAACTTACATCCACATCAAGAACCCCATGTTAAAAAAACATGGGTCTTTGCTGAACCTAAGGTGTTGAATAATATTCTAGAAACTTTAAGAGCTTACATAAAAATTTAGAAAAATTAACTCCAACAAGCCAAGTTTATAATGAATTGCTGTGCCACCACAACAATTGTTCTAAAAAGAATTACAATGTCAAATCTCCAAGGAATCTTGGTAGAACCTAGACTCTAGAACTTTTACTCCCGGTTTCACTAGGCTTAAGCCTAGTCCCAGACTAAAATGTAAGTCTGAGCTGTTTTAACTGAAAGAATCTTGCACTGATTGATCTTAAAATATGTCAGTGCCCTTGTTTTGTCTCAAGATGAATTTAAGAGAATTTAAAGTGGAAGACGAGTGTGCACTTGGAATAAACAGACGATATAGTCCGCTGGTGTGGACGCTAATATAGTTATCTATCTTTATAGTTATCTTTATAGTTATCGTTCTTGGTGTGAACGGGCATAAAGCTCTGTCTGTGAAACCAGGCCTTAAAGTTCAAATACGAACTTCTAAATATTAAAAAAGCTCAAGCTCCAAGTATAAAAGCAACATTGAGGACATCTTCAGGCTTCAAATAACTTCAATCAACTAAAGAACTCTATATACTGAAACATTGTGCTAGATGGGTCTTTACTGAACCTGAGGTACTGCAGAAAACCATTATTTTTCAAGAGTCCACAGGTCTTTTCCGGTCCTAAGGTACTATGAAAAACCATTAAAGAACCTTAATTTGTAAAACTGTATAGTCATTTTTAATAAAAAAGATTTAAAGGAACTTCAACCAGGCCAAGTTCTAATATTAATGCTTTTGGCTCAATATACATTCTAAAAAACTGATTACCAAACAGAAAATAATTATTTTAAATCTTTAAAGAATCTTAAAGGGGTCATATGATGCGATTTCATTTTTTCCTTTCTCTTTAGAGTGTTACAAGCTCTTGGTGCATAAAGAAGATCTGTAAAGTTGCAAAGACTAAAGTCTCAAATCCAAAGAGATATTCTTTATAAAAGTTAAGAGTTAGCCACACCTACCTAAAACGGCTCGTTCGAACACGCCCCCACATATCTACCACACTATGTGGGAAGATTTGCATAACACCGCCCAAATGTTCACACAAAGAAAGAAGGAGTAACTTTTATTCTCGCTGTAATATTGTTGTTGCCGCTGCCGCCATGTCCTGAAGACCCTGTGTGCTTCGTTGTGAAAGCGAGTATTTATGTCCCCACTGGATGCAACAAATGCCTTGTTTGTAATGGGTTTTAATGTTTATGTCTCCGGCCGGACACGGCATCAACAGTATGTGAGGGGCGTAACATTTCCGTCTCAGGCTTGAGGTATTCGGCCAATCACAACGCATTGGATAGCTGGCCAATCAGAGCACACCTCGCTTTTCAGAATGATGAGCTTTGTAAAAATCGACGCGTTTCAAAAAGGCGGGGCATAGAGGAGAAACAATAATGTACAGTATGTGGAAAATAATGTGTTTTTTTAACTTTAAACCGCATAAACACATTTCATTACACCAAATACACAAAATAATGTTCTTTTTAGCAGCATCATATGACCCCTTTAATAGAACTTAGACGTTCTACACTCTTAAAAAGAAACTTTCAGTGAACAATTCGTTTTCTTAGTGTGAAGAACACTTTAATAATCTAAAGAACCATTTTCCACTACAAAGAACCTTTTGTGCAATGGAAAGTTTCCATGGGTGTTCTTCATGGAAACATCAATGCCAATAGCTCAAGAACCCTAAACAAACACGGTTCTTGACACGACAAGGATGCAACAATGACACACAAAACCCTTAACACACAGTATTGTAATATCACAGATATTAATAAAACCCCCCAAAACGACTAACGGAAACGCAGTCATTAATATTCAGGATGTTCATTCAAATTTCGTATTCAAGAGGCTGTAGTGATTGTATTATGAATTAGAGAGGGTCAGTCCGTCTTTATTAGAGGGCTTGCTTGGGTCACAGACGCATGAATATCAAAGTACGAATTGTGTGCGTGCTTTTCCTGTATCTCAATACCCTTCCCCATCTACGACTCGCTTGCTCTTTCATGCTTTGTATCTGCCACTCTCTATCTGATCTCGATATGAAATGGATATATCATTGACCAGCCTACCATACGCCTTTAACTGTCAGTATGCAACCTGATGGCAATATTGGATTGTGTGCATTCAGTAAAATGGTACAGAAAGAGTCCCGCAGACATACGTGCTGGGGTGGACATGTGAGCATGAGTTCCCATTTCATTTAAACACACCGGCTCTCGTAAAGTTGCACCTTTAAACAAGAAACTGCATGACTCACTCATGGCACCTGTGGATGTGTCTAAAAAAAGGCCACAGATAAATCAAAACCATGCAAACTAGGCTGCAAATAATGAAGTCACATACTCAGCAATTCTAGTAATTTAGTAATTCAGCAGTTTTTATATTTATTTATTTATTTTATATGATAAACAAACAAACAAACAAGCAAACGTGATATAATTAATATTACAATTAAATAATAAAATTAAAATTAAAAAAATTATAATACAAATTGTCAACTTCTTGTAGTATACTTTAATTTAGATCACCTCAAAGTTTAATGTTTTGTTTCTAAAATTATTACTTTTTTTTTTTTTTCCCCCACTGGCTCACGTGAAGGTTTGCCTTTAACCAAGCAGCCGCGTGACTCACTCCTGGCACCTGTGGATGTGTCTAAAAAAGGCCGCAGATAAATCAAAAGCCTGCAAACCTGGCTGCAAATAATGGAGTCACATACTCAGCATTGCCATATGGGGAAAATAGGCTTTGGCAGTGAGGGGTCAATTCATCATCTTTAAATTCATCCACTGTGGTTTATCCCAAGACTCAGCTTCTCATTCAACCCGTCATTAAATCTGCTGCAAGCCCGGTTTACTTTCTTAGTCCACATTCCCTGTATTCTTGCACAAGATTTAATGCATGTTTTTTTTTTTCTTAAAAACAATGATCAAAATAACTTGCTTCGCCTCTAGAACAACTTTCCCTTTTGATTGACATCACTAAGAACTATTTCTCAACTGCACCCCTTTTTACAGTTCAGTCAATTTCCAATTGTTAAAATGAAGCCTCCCCCTAATAAATAAATGTGGTTGTCAACTTTACAGTAAAAAATACAGTAGAAACATTTTAGGTTTTACAGATTGAACTTATATTTATGTTTTTAAAAAATGCAATAATGTTAATAACAAAATTACTAAAATTGCTAAAATACTTTTTACCACAAGCAGTTTTTACACAAACTAAAATTAATATTAATTTGTAGAAGGTGCACAGTGTCATACACATGACACAAAAATAATACAATATAAGACATAACATAAAAAACTAACTGATAAGAAAAAATAAGAAGAAGAAAGGGTTATTTCAATACAAATAAAATAAAATATAACACTAAAAAAGATAACCAAATGTGAAGAGTCACACGGAGAATTCTAGGAAATCAATTTAGGTTTTTTCACTGTAAATTATAAGATGACTTGTTCTTTTTCACTTCCAAAAACTACATTTAACAGTTTTATTAAATGACGTGAAACGTCCTTTAGAACTATTACAGTTTTCCACCTTATAAAGGAACTTACTGTTAACCAGTTAACTGTATTAAACCATTAAAACAAAAAGGGTCAACAAAAAGTCTAATTTCGATTTCATGTGGTTTTAATGATCGGAGCTCGCAGATATTCCCGCTGCCACTGTGTGCTGTAATGTAATGGAACAGGTATGGTTGCATGTAGCTCCCTAATCACATTGATTTCTCTCCATGCTGTGGTAAAGAGCTTTCTGAAGTCCTTGCAAAGAGAGCTATTCTGTCTTTTATCGGTATTCCGGTGTAATCGGCTTCTGCTGTTAAAATGACAGCGAGTCAAAGCGGGGACCCCAGGCTTCGCCAGTCGCTGCGTATTTGTGAGGCTATAAATCAAACGATGGCGCTCTTCCCCGTCCTGTATCTCCCCATTACACCCTCTCTGTCGTTTATATCCATCAGCACGTTTCATTTCCAAAGACAAAAAGATGCTCTGGTGAATGCATGCCAAGAAGAGACGATTCCCTAAATGATTCGCCCTTTTATTACAAAAAGACAAATTAAATAATATACAAAAAGTAGACAAGGACAGAGCATCTCGTTTTGCACTAGCCTGTTACAGCCAGGAAAGCAACAAAAAAAAAAACATACAGTTATTAAATGAATAGAAATAACAATCATCTTCAAGAAACTGCTGGAAAACACCATCTAAAGTCTATATAGAAAATCTGTTTTTGTTAGTATGGTCCTCGTATGGGTTTTATAAATGCCCTGAATCTGGTTTGAGATGTATTTTAAAACCTAACCATCTTCTGAAACTCCGCTAGTGCCAGAGAAGATCTGATAAAGCCGCGTTATCTTCAGCTGAAAGATGCAACACATCTCACCAAACCCCTGCGCACACAGATCAGCATGCAGGTGGCTTTCCAAATGAATCACTTCTCATCAATGGAGAGGATATTGATTTATAAAAAAAAAAAAACGTACGAGCTTGGTTTCTTTACCAGTTTTACACTGAAATGATTGAATTCGGAGACTGCATTCCTACCTCTGTTGCGGGCTGTTCAGTTGACCACGTATTGCTGCGGAAAGGCAGTCTATTATCCCTTGCCAGCGCTGAGGACTCAGACCGACGGAGATACGGACTGAGCTGGTGCGCGAGAGAGAGAGACAGAGCGAGGGAGAAAGAGAGATAGAGCAAGTGGGGAGACACATGCAACTGGATCAGTGTAGCCCGATTCCTCAACGAATGGCTCCTCTGAACTGGTTCTTTTTAGTCAATCAAACGCAACTAACGTATCAGCGAATGACTTGACGGTTCTTTTTTGTGTGTGAAACAAAAACATAAAGCGCGGCCGATGTAGTCCGATTGCCAAACTAATGAACCGACTGTTTTTGTGAATCAAATAGGTGCAAGTGCGAGTCCAGTTTTCAAGCAAATGACTCGCATGTGTTTGATAAATCATTTAAAACATACAGCGGTTTAATTAGCGAACACTTTAAATAGTTAACACTGGGTCATTCTAAACTCCGTGTAAACGGAATACATCCTTCATCTTAACACTGCTCATAATTTACCCGGGGTTAACAATTAATCCTAGATATTCATAATATGACTTTTCACACTGTACATTCCTAAACCCCGGGTTTCGGGGTTCAATCCGATCGAGTGTTTACATGCGCTCTCAATCGTATTAGAAAAGGAATAAACCACCCCCTTCAAGCCAATCGAAATTTCATTCCGATCGAGCTCAATCGGATCGATTAAGCTGTTTACATGAAGGCTTTACAGTCCGATTGAGCCGTCAATCCGATTACAAACGGATTATTTGGTTGCATGTAAACGTAGCCACTTTGATTGTACTGAACGGAGCACGTGACCGGTTTACATAAAGCCTCTAGCATTGCCCATTCTATTATCAAGTTTTTCCTGAATGGACTTTTTGGACTAAAAAGGTAAGAACAAAACAGTCTCTTCTTCACTCCAGTTCATGTGTTTTCAGTCACCATTTGACATTTTTCCCCTCAAACGCTGAAACGTCTATGTATACATGCATGGTTTTTCCTTGACTTAATATGAGATTTCCAACACTGCATCTTTTGGCAAAAGCGATGCTAACCCTGCTCCAGTTTCATAACCCTGGGTAAAAAGCGGTGCTTTGGTCGCCGAATCTCCATTTTCTTCCAAAGTATACCAGGTATTGGTCGCTGTCATCTTGCGCAGATGACATCATTTTTTTAAATAATGTGTTTTATATAGGCTAGTATTAATGCACGTAGTATGAATGTAACTCAGACATACAATATTTGTCATGTTGTCATTGTCATGTGACCTAACAGCATCACTGCAATTAATAAATCCTCGCCCATGACCTCATGGGATAGTAAAGTATCCACTGCATGTGCAGAATTTCACTGGAAATGATAGGCTATCTGGAGACTTTTAACCTGTTTTAAACTGTGAATTAGGATACACTTCTCTGTTCACATACTGTTTTTCACGTTTAGATATTTCAGATTCAGCCAAGGACTCTTCAGAGCCTGTTATTTTTAGTGAATCCAAACCATACAGTGCGACCAGTGTAGGCCTACTCTGATTCCCAAATGAGCCGGTTCCTTTTAGTAAACACTTTTAGTGGTTACTGAATTAATCTAACTCACTTACTGAACCTCAGTTAATACTTTGGCCATTTCATTAATAAAATGCTAATTTTTCCAAGTATTTTATTTAATATATAGTTAGGTCAAATTATTGGAATGCATTTATTATAAATCAGTGCCACTATTTAACCTTTTGCACAATTTGACGTTTATTTTAAACCAATACATTTACATTTCTGATTTATTGATCTCATATGTGGCAATTGACTGCTTATAATATATTCTTTCTTAATAATTATTCTTCAAAAGTACCAAACATATCGTTAATGGAACCGTTAAGGAATCAGAATGCAAACCAGAATCATTACGATAGTAATTAACATACACAGCTCATTCAGCAGCCTACTTGACGCTGTTGGAGTGAGAACGGGTTAATATACATACCGAATAAAAGCACAGATCATAAGAATCCATCTCAGATAATGATAAAATAAATAAATAAATACATGTTATTATTGGATTAACTGCAATGGCTTATTTCTTGACCGTAACATCTAAAGTGGAGATGCAAGAGCTAGATGCTACTGATGCATGTCTCTTAATGTGCATAAACGCATTTTTCATAGCTTCAGGTTTTTGCTCGTTGTCTTTTCCATCGGCCACCAAGCACATCTGTTTTCTCACTCTGAGCACGTAGTGCGCCTCTGTCAGCGCGTGCCCACACGAGCAGGCAGGAGCCTTTGACGTCATAGAGAGGCACTCTGCCAGAGCGCGAGGCACGGGCAGCGTGTGTTAAATCAATCTTTCACGTGAATGACTGTGCAGCTCCCCCTCTGGCATCCTGAAACATCCTCAGAGTGATATCAGGCACTGAATTTAGGTGAATGGAGGGTGTGAGAGGCTCATTCACAAATGAGTCTTGCCTAGTGATTGCCTACACTGGAACTGTTTGAGATTTTGACCAGTTATGACCAGTTAGAATTAATTTAGTCGCCCTGAGAAGTGTACTATACAGGATAACCGGCCATCTTAAGTGAGATTACAGATAATGGGGAGTGCATATTCAGTCTGAAAGGCACAGTAAATATGATGCTTATTATACATCTTGCTGCCTCACTGCTGTAAGTCAATCACTAAACAGGTGGTGTTTTGTAAATGAAGGTAACTACTATAGGAACTGGTTTCAAACTGACTTCCAAGACACCATAAATGTCACATCTAACAAATTCAAGTAAACATCAAGCATATAACAACATGTAATAAAGCAAATATGTAATGACTTCATAAAGAGAGTGAATAACACTGCTCCTGATAGTAAATAGTACAGGGTGAGGACCTACCTTCAAGCACATACCCTCCCAGATAACAGAGGAGTTTTGACATATCTGGCTTGATGGATTTATACACTTTCTGCAGGATCAATGCTACTGATGCAGGGACTCACAGGATAGCTTGTATAAAGATAGAAGCTCCCTCAAGATCAGCAACATACGCTTTTAGGAGAATGATGTGCAGCTACCAGAACGGAGCTTTCTTTCATTGCAGCATGGGTTAGATTTGAGATTCTTTTGGAGCTGGAGTTTAAAGGCAGAGTTTAACTAAAAAAAAATTAATCTGTCATCATTACTCACCCTTATGTCAATCCAAATCTGTACTGAACACAAAAGAAGATAAATATGCTGGAGTCCAAACAACACTGGACATCATTGACATTCTTTATACAGAAAATCATATAGGTTTGGAACAAAATGATGGTGAATAATAATCCCAGAATTTTCTTTTTTTGAGTGAACCATCTCTATAAAGGTCAAAAGTTTTCTTTAAAGGGTAGATAAAGACACATTCTAGACATTAGGACTAAGAAAGTTTAACAATAGAACCTCTTGTTCATTCAAAATATATTCTATCCAGCTTATAGTCAGCTACATTTCAGCACCATGGACAGTTCCACATGGACATATTGACCAAAATAGTTAGACACATGGGCTCCATCGCTCTTAGGACAGCAAGAAAAACACCAAATACCATTCTGAAAACATCTTGGTTTTAGTGGCTTTAGATCTGACAGTCCCACCCAAACTCCAGTCTCTTCCCTAAAGAGTCAAGACACATACCAGCAATCAAAGAAATCACTTCAACAGAACTGTCAAAATTACTTCCAGTTCCAGCTTACCTAAACTACAAAATATACTCCTCATACTTAACGTACTGTACCTTGAGGTCTAGGAGCTTGTTTTCCTTCAACTTGTCTCTATCTGGAGCCATTTTAACCAGTCTGACAGACTCCATTCATGCAAAACATTTTGAAGCGGTTACATCTCTTTCTATTAGAGAGACCTTAAAGAGCCCCGTCAGCCTAGGTAATGTTTTTTTGTTTTACCATGTTAAACCCTCAATTGGTCCTTGGGGTCAATATGACCCCAATCAACTTTTACTTAGTTAAAAAAAAAATGGTTCCCTTCATCTCAGTGGAATAAGATTTTGTGACTTTTCAACATTTTCTATCTGTATTCTCATTTTAAAAAATGGGCTTGATTCGGTTGTTCTGAAGGTATGTAAAAAAACATTTTTTACAAATCTGGTCTTTGGGATCAATATGACCCCAATTGAAAATGAATGGGAAATGCGAAAAAATCTCTAATTTTTTTTTTTTCATTTGTAAAAAAAAAAAAATCAATAAATCCAGCATAAATCTGAAAATTTCCACACAGAAATGAAGGCCTGGTACTAGAGCACAAATGCAATGTAGAAAAGACATGCTCACTCACATGCACACGTGCACACACGCACACAAACACACACACAGGAGTGACTGCAACAGAGGGCATTTTTATAGAAACTGGCAAATAAAATCAATAAATCCTGCATAAATCTGAAAATGTCCACACAAAAATGAAGGCCTGATACTAGAGCACAAATACAATGTGGAACGAGCATACTCACTAACGTACATACACACACACACACACACTCTCTCTCTCTCTCGTTCACACACACCCACCATTCATATCTGCTTATTGCAGTTGTTTTTTTGTTTTCTTTTGTTTTGTTTTTTGTTTTAGTTTACAATGTTTTAATTTACATTTAAGTAAAATAAAATTGTTGATTTTTACTTTTTAGATTGAAAAAAATCAAGCGATCAAGTTTTAGTCACAACTTGTGTGGCATTTCTGCAAATTTATGTGGCATTATTGCAAAAGCGGGCACTTCAAAATACCTCAAACAACAAAAAATTCTAACCTTTGAGAAAAATACTGTTTTTTTATGCATTTTATAATGTTTCAATATATATTTACAAAATATATCTCAGAAAAGTTGTGGGAGAAGCAGTGGGTCACTTCCAGAAAAAATGAATGGATCTCTATGGGCCTCTGCTGGATATACTGTATATGTTCATTACACTATTCTTTCAAAAACTGTAATTTCTACAAGTTTTTCTCTAACCAGCAGATGGCAGAATTCTACACCTAACACCTAGATCAATATCCAGAAACAACTTAAATCAAATTT